GGACGATGAGGCTTTGCAGCTCTGTATGCCTAGAAAGGCACAGACTGCACCCCCTCCACCACCTCGGCAGACCTTCGCACAAGTTACGGCACGCCCCCCCCAGCTATCGCATTCCTAGACGGAAGAGACCGAACGTGAATGCAGCAGGTCACAGCGGAGTCCTGGAACAGAGAACTGCCTTGCCTAGGAAGAACTTGTGAACTTTGATGGGGTCTTCCCCGGGGAAAGGAGCCCACAGCCCCCCTGTTCGCTAGCTCCCGACCCTCAGATGTTCAGTGTTCGACAAGGGACGAGTTTCAAATGTTCAAAACTCAATAAAGTTTTCACTGTATTCCCAGAACATGTTGCAAAACATAATTCCCCAAAAAATATGGCAAAACATGTTAACAGAACACAGTATAACATCACCTCGCGGAGTTATCGCTCCCTGAGGTGGCCAGGGAAATATTGGCTAGCGGAGATCATACATATGCTGTACGAAGACCCGTGGTCTCTCCCGCTGCGCAGAGATCTTTTGTCACAAGCAGAGGGGGAGATTTTTCATCCTCATCCAGAACGCCTGGCACTATGGGCCTGGCCTGTGAGTGGTTCAATTTAAATACAACCGGTCTGTCTGACAGCGTTATTAGAACCATACAAAATGCTAGAGCTTCATCGACTAGGTCTCTTTATGAATGCAAATGGGGCGTGTTTGAGCGCTGGTGCGCAACTAAACACGAGATTCCCTTTCAGTGTTCAGTGGCAGTTGTTCTATCATTTCTTCAGGATTTGATAGACCAAGGGAAAGCGTTTTCAACCATAAAAGTGTTTCTGGCTGTTATATCTGCTTGTCACATTGGTTTTGATAACAAAACTGTGGGGCAGCATCCTTTGGTATGCAGGTTCATGAAGGGCGCGCACCACACTTTGCCAGTTTCAAAACTGCTTTCCCCCTCATGGGATTTGGGATTGGTGCTTGATGCTCTTTCCATGTCCCCATTTGAGCCGCTGGACAAGGTTGATTTCAAAATATTGTCATTTAAGATGGCACTGCTGTTAGATTTGGCTTCGGCAAAGCGCGTAAGCAAGATTCATGCGTTTTCAGTGCATTCAGCGTGTTTGCAGTTCATGTCTGGGGGGTGCAGGGGTAGTTCTGAAACCTAATCCTGCATTCATGCCCAAAATAGTTAATGCTATCATTCCTCTTGAGTTAAGAGCCTTCTATCCACCACCTTTTGCTTCATCAGAACAGCAAAAGTTAATAAATGCATTGTGCCCAGTGCGTGCTTTACGCATTTATACAGAAAGAACCAGAAGGTTCAGGGAGAGTGATCAGCTGTTCATATCTTGGATGAAACCTCTTACGGGGAAACCGATTACTAAGCAGCGTTTATCGCACTGGATCGTGGAGGCTATTTCGTTGGCATATTCCTGTAAGGGCCCTGTGTCCCCACCTGGTTTACGTGCACACTCAACAAGGGGAATGTCGTGGGCTCTACTGTATTTAAAGGAGTCACGTTACAGGATATTTGTGAAGCAGTGAGTTGGTCCTCACCGCATACATTTATTTGCAGGGTTTTATAAACTGGATGTTACAGCTCAAACTTTAGCACATGCAGTATTGAGCATAGGAATGTGTGTCACGAGTCATGATCGTTCAGCCCCGGATGCGTGCTTGTGGTTGGCAGGAGACTTCGAGGCAGGCTATCTGGCAATAGGGGAATTAGGATGTCCCCTAGTGAAACACCGAAACATATGCTTGAAAGAGAACCGGTTCTCTGATAGCATTATGTGAGGTGTCTCACCAGATCACCCTCCTTGCTGTGCGAAGTGAGGAAGAGGTGTGCTTGTTTTGAATGTCGTAGTGACGCTGTGTAGTGATGGTCACTTTTGAAACACTGCTTCATGAAGCTTTGAAACAAAAAAAAAAAAAAAAAAAAGCAAGCCCAATATTTTGATGATTTATTATCAATATTATTTATCAATTATTTATTACCAATACATGAGCCTGCAACATATTAAACTGAAACTACTATTTTATCTAAAAAGTAAAAACAGAAGTTATTTTACAAAAATCAAATGTCACGGTTTGTCAAGGGAGGACCCAAATGCAGAATGGACAGGGGAAGCGGAGTTTAACAAAATGAGAGCACAAAAGGATGAGCTAAAAAAAAAAAATAAAAAAAAAAAACTGGAACTTGTGAAAACAAAAGGATAACAATAGGAAAAAATTGACTCTAACTACAAACAAAAACAAGACAGCAACCTTGCTGAAAACTAGAAAGAAAAGAGAAAGAAAAGAAAAAGAAAAGAAAAGAAAGACAAAATCAAAAGGTTCAGGATCTAAAATAAAAGAACTAAACCACTAAGACTGTAACTAGACTATAGACTAAACACGAACAAAAACTAGACATAACAAGACGAAAACCAGACTGGATGCAATATACTAAATAGTAAGCTCTAACAAGACTAAAGACAATAGCACGGCGAATGCACACACAAAACGAACCAGCAAAGACTAGAGGGAAATTAGCACAATATAAAGGGATCAGAGCACACGAGGATCAGGTGAACACAATTGGACAAACAAGGACTAAACAAGGGGGCGTGGTGATTGAAAATGAGGAGGCAGGACATGAGGAGCACATGGCCAACACAAACAAAGACACAGCCATGTGCTCAGGCACAAAATAAACAAAGATACATTAAACAAAGACAGGACAGACAAGACTGTCAGGGCAGGATCCTGACATCAAAGTGGAAACAATACTCATCTCCAATCATCTGTGAGCAGAATAGGATTAGAGAGATGGAAAAGGAGAAGAACACAAGAGCTTCAAAGGGGAGCTGTAACATAGTCACATGTTTATAGCCTGTATATACTGTATATATTACTATAAGCCTACTTGTTTTTTTTATTATTACAGCCCGTGATAATACATTACAAAAACATTGTAAAAATTAAAAATTACCTTATAAAAGAAAGTCATTGCACTCCTCTATTACGTCTACTATCATTACTTGGATTACAGCGTCACGCTCCTTCTTTTTGAACATGATGGGCGGAATATTTGATGAATTACGCTACAGGACTTATATTATTGCACTAATTGGCTTTTAACTGTGAGCAGACAGAGTGTCAATCAATGCATTGGAGAACACGGCGAACATAAATGTAAAGAAACAAAGTTGCTTGTCAGATTTTCCTAACAAGCAACCATATTTTTTAAAATAAACCCAAAAAACCAGTAGCCCCTCACTGCACAACACAAGATCCAGGGGGCGTGGTTGGATCCACATCTAGGGGGTGGAGATGGGTGGGTTTAGGGGTGGAGATGGGTGGGTTTAGGGGTGGAGATGGGTGGGTTTAGGGATCAGGAAGTGGAGACGGGTAGGTTTAGGTATATGTAGGGTGGGAGGAGTTGGATCTGGATCTTGTGTTCTGCAGTGAGGACCGTCTCGCGGACTTGGCAACTGTGGTTCGCAGCGCGTATCAAAATGCCAGAAGTCACGTGATTTCAGTAAACGCGCCTTCGTTACGTCATAACTGTTTCGAAATTTCAATAGTTTTCCTTTTAGGGGCGATGATCTCCATGAACCCGTGAATCATGCGAGCTGAGATCGCCCTCCAGCAGCAAACCAATGAATCAGCGTCTATGGTTATACGATCTCGGATCAGTTTGATCAATTTGTAGACATTTTTAATGAGACATTTGTGTAATTAAAAGGATAAGTAGTAGTTAATAGTCTCTTACTGGCCTGTTTAGACAAGCTCTCCATAAAACAAACAAAAAACAAGCCCTTGCAAATTAATAAAAATAATTTTAAAGACGCATAGGCCTATTATACAGACACTTCATTTTTAATGGTAGTTTATTATTTTGATTGCATTTAATATATTATACTTTCAAGAAAGCATTTTCATTAGGTTTGTAAAAGCTGTTTTTATGCATGTTTTGGTCTGAGTTTTTGTTGCATTTACACAGTTTTGACCAGCATGCGTCACCAGCGTGTGGTGTTTCGAGCGCTTCGAAACAGTGAATCATTTTGCGAAGCAACTGGTTCAATTGATTCGAAGCTTCGAAATGGTTCGTTTCTCCCATCACTAACGGGTGGGGAGGCCACTCCCAGACACAACGTCACGTCTGTCAGCCAATTGGGGCTGGCGTAATGTAATAGGCTTCTGCGGAATACGCGGAAGGGGCGTATCCCATAGTGAGACACCTCACTTAATGCTATCAGAGAACCGGGGTTACGCAAGTAACCTATTGTTTTTTGTTCACCTTTTCGCGTAGCTGTTTCTTTAATATCTGCACGTCGTTGATTTTTTGCGACTAATTTTACTTTTGAAAACAATTAATTTACGTCTCCGCCTCTCCAGAAGCGAATAATCTTCAATGTGCGTTTCCGAGCGCTAGCTGGTTAGCTGCGTTCGTTAAAAGTCATTGAGAAAGAGCGCTAACTAGCCGCTAGCTTCACTTCACCACTTATAAACCATGATTGCTACACAAATGAGGTCTGACACACATGAGGTCTGACATGGGCAAAAACGCATCGGAAAGACGCTGTTTTACCTGCCTAACGAAATAGGAAGGCATTTCGCCCCGTCTGGTTTAATACATTAGGGGTGTCTCATCGGAAGCAGCGTAGAGAAACTGGATCAGTCGCCTCACTTTACTGGATCTGGGACTTTAAATGAAGATCACACCATCAAAGGTGAGTATTTGACATTTGTAGAGGTCTAAGTGAATCGTATGGCCTTTGTTAGTTTGTTTACAAACCGCTTGTTTGCTAGAAGCTACAGGCTAGGTTGATTTGGCCTAACTTAGATGGCTAGCCGATTAACAACTTTCCTCACGTTAGTTAGCGATCTTTGTTCATACGCCAGATAGCTTATCCGATCATCGGCATCTGTTTTTACACTCCCCAACCCCCAGTATTGAGCATTTGTTCAGGTTTTAGGACAGTCTGTTTAACAGGTAACCCCGTGTAGCTCTGCTAGGTCAGCCTGCCGGAGCAAATGTGTGTGTATATGTGGGGTTTGCTCAGCCTACGATTTTATATACCCGCAGAAAGTCAGCCAGCTGGTGATTACAGAAGTGCATCATCACATCACTCGGATGGGAGTGTTTGGCTGGTAACGCTGGTGGTGGAGGTGATGATGATGATGATGATGAAGCCCCATGACTAGCGTGTTGTCAGTTAGCCATCAGGCTGGTTTCCTGTCGGGGGAGGGGGCTGACATTAGCCAGCGATGTGATGCCTAACCATAGTTATCCAGCAAACATTGCTCAGTCATGTAGTACGGGTTTAGACTTTAGCGTGACGATGGAAATGTTAAACGAGTCCTATCGAGCCCGATGAATGGCTAAGCCAGCTAGAGAGGTAAGGTCCGCTTTACCTGTCACTATCACTCAGTATAACTCTGGCTAGTTTGCTCAGTGTTCAAGGCTTTTTATCAAGTTTTTTTGGTCGTTAATGTGAAGGAATTGATGGCACGCTGCTCAGATTTGTATTTGTTAATCTGTGCAAGGCTTTCAGAAGGATGCTTTCGTCTTTTCCAGATGAATAATGGTCTCTGACCAGGTATACAGTACAGGTTGTAAGATTTCCCCCTCAGTGTCACCTGAAGGTTCAGCTTTGGTACTGTTAAATACATAATAAAAGTACAGCCGATACAGATATGGATGCATTATGCACAGAGAAATGTCTCTTAAATAGGGTCATGGTTTGTTGCCTTTGTTTCTCTGAGGTAAACTTTATTCTGAAAGTTCATAGGTAGATCAATGACAGATGCCATCTTTTTTTGTCCATCACTTCCTCCCACAGCAGTCTAAAAGAGTAATTGACAGTGGTCCTAGTTTAACAGGAGCTTTTTGTTCTTTCCTGTGATGCAGTTTATTTGTTGTTTTGCACAAACCTTATTTCAATCACACTATAGGAATGAGTTGCATGCATTTAGCTGGATATGCAGGAATAGGCCTACATGCACAAAAGACCAGAGTCTGTACTGTCGCTTACACTTTTTTTCTCTCCTTACACTCCATGCACAGTCCAATATCCCTTTTCTTTCCATCTTATTGACATTGTTTTGGAATTTCAGTGGTGCTGAAATCCAGCTAATCTGCTGTAGTGTTGTTTGAGGGCTTCTTTTTATTAGCGTTTAGAAAATTTGTCAACATTTAGGTTAATTATAACTTTATGTAACCTAGGGAATTTTAATTGGGGGGCGGGGTGTTATTACTTTTTGAACACTCGAGTATGTTTGGGTAAATTAGGTGAAATTTGGGAGTAGTTGTGAACTTAGACTTGCTTGTAAAAATAGGAATTCAATGTTACCCAAGTTTGAAACAAAAAAAGCGATCAGAAAACAAAGTACAAATGCATGCACTACATGCTCAGTATTGAGATGAGTTGTCATTTTTCTAAATTGTTCTTCTTTTTCTTTTTGATGTTTGTTCATCAAAGTTTGTTTGCAGCCCTTCTGTTCATGTAGGACTCAAAGGAGATTTTGATGGGGAGATTCGTTTGTTAACACTCATTGCAAGTGAATAAAACATTTTACAACTAATTAAGATGAAATTAAATTTATATTGGAAATCATGCATCCAGGTTAGTTTTTTGCATCGGTTATTGTTATGAAGCTGAAACTGTTGTGCATTTATGCACATCTTACTCTATTGATCCCTGTGGTAGTATTTGTCTAATTCAGTATTCGTATGTCACTGTGTAATATGATGGTTAATGTTGAACATTGTTTAGCATGGCTGCATTTAGTCACTTTGAAATTAGTTTGAAGTGGAATATCTACTAGGTAGCAAAAAAAACAACAACAAGTTGTTTTCTTTTTTTGTGGCTTAGTTTGTCTCAGTTTGCTACTTTTTTGTTCTTGTGGTCCACACCAAATAAGTGGAATAATTTCTGGGACATGCAACACATTTTAACTTTGCAGTTTGAGAAGGTGTCACTGGCCATTTTGAAAGCCATAAATTACAGGGAGCTGACCCACTATTACACTATAAGAAAGGACCAGTTATGTTGTTACAGAGCTTTATTATAGATTGGAAAATGTTTGATGTAAAGCCATAATTGTTCTTGTTGCATGTGCATTCAACATGTTTGGCGTTGTTGTGAGAAGGTAATTTATTGATCACAGTCCCTTACTGTACAGTAGTCCAGGGATTTTGTTGTATGTTTGATGTTTACCTGGCCTGACAATAACCAGACATGCCATGGAAAAAAATTAATTGAAAAGGATGAATTAAATGTCAAAAGCTCCTGAAGATAATTTATTATTTATTTTTATTTGGCTATTAGAAAACATATATCACTAGTCTTTGCTAGTGTTGTTTTAGGTTGTTAAAAACAAATCTTATAATTAATTTATTATTATTATTTACTTGAAAACAGGATAATCATAGATCAGTAAACAGAAAAAACTGATAATACCTTTTTTGTAGTTTAATCAGATTCAGAAATAAATTGTCAATCTGAGTAGTACACGACATGTAAAATTTGAGTGACAAGCAGAATAGTGAAATACACCTCTGAGGGTCATATTTAATGTTTATATTTGCAAAGTCTTGTTCACATATTTTGTATGTTACCAACTTTATAATTTTTTATACAGGCCTATAAATTCTTATTTCCCCTGAGTTATAAAGCTGCTTATAAATCACAAAGAAACAGAACTCTATATGTAGTAAGAGGGTCTTCTGTGGTGCAGAATGTAATGTTGTTTCTGTTTGTACTGTGACATACATCAGTTTTTCTCTTGGTGAACTGCATGCAGTCCTTGACAACATGAATCATCAAGCCCATATTGAGAACTATGCCTTGGCAGAACAGATAAAAAATACACTTTTAATGTACTTTTTTCTTTAAATATATCATAAATTTAAAATGTTTATGTTGGTAAATTAATGTAAAAATGTGCTGTAAAAAATGTTTTATTATTTCATAGGTTTTTGTCTTTTGAATCTTTTGAAATGGTTGTATTTGAGGCTGTTGAAGTGTTTCCATCCTCTGATATTTTTTTGGATCACATGAATTCTTTGCCCTGCCTTAGTTAGGTCAGCTGAATCATTCTCTGCTCCTACACCATGAGTGGGGTCTGAGCTGCTATTTTGCTGTCAGGCTCCAATGTGGTGGATGCTTCATCTAAGTGTGCCAAAGTTCAATTTTATTTCTTGTTTATTTCTTGTTTTCTTATTGGAAAATGGGAGCAGCTCTGCCCTGGCAACAAAAGTAGGCTATTTGCATACTCTTCTGTGATTGGCTTGAACATTGATGGGCTTGCCAAATCACACTGTATCTTCTTGGTGATAGGCTATGCTAATTAGGTGCTGTTGCTGGGATTCTGAATAGTGGTGGGATTCTGTGTGGCTGTGGTGCATTGTGTTGCCTGGCAAGAGATGCTTATATATGAGCAAGCTCTTTATAATTATCACAATTTACAGCTAAAAAAGGACAGATTTCTGACCAGATATTTTTGTAATTGACATGAAATTTGCGATGTAGTTCTTTCTTTTTATTTAAAAATTGAGAAGAGAACTGTTCCCCCCCATTTCTGTATAGTTATATTAAATGATTTTGTCTTTTTGTTGCTATGGTTTAATTGTTAGTGCCTTTATTTTTCTGGCATTCCTCTCATAGGGATGTGTTTTGCTATATTCTGATAAACAAGATTCATAAATTCATAGATTGTTGTACTTAATTATATATTCGCTTTCTATTCTATTGTGTTTTAGTTCTAGTGCTACAAGCCTATGCTTCATTTTTTTTAACATAAAAATTAGGGGTGTAACGGTACACGCATTCGTACCAAAAATTTTCGGTATGGGCCTTTCGTTTCAGTACGCATGTGTACTTAACAAATACAGCATTGTTTTAACCACTGCACGAGCGGAACTTCATTGGAAACTTCCAGTTTTATATATTGTTGCTTTTGAATTTCAAATTATGGCCTTTTTTCAGGAAATTCAAACAATAAATGCCGTTTTGACGCTTTTTGATGTGGCGCGACTGATTGCTGTAAACCTCAGTTCAAACCAGTGTTGCCAAGTCCGTGGTTTTCCCACAGAATTGGACTACTTTAACACTGTTGCCGCGGGTTGTTTTTCATGTCCGCGGGTTGAAGCGACTCCAATAACATGTTTATCCCCTGGAATGTGAATTTTAGCAGGGGAACCCCGCCAAAAAACATGTATTTTACCCCCCGGAACGCGATTTTTAACTGTGGACCCCCTCGAAACACGATTAGGCTAGTTTTGAGTAGCGATTGGGCGGGTTTTCTTGTGAAAACCTGGCAACCCTGGTTCAAACTGCAGCGCGGAATGCGAGTGAGCGTGATCATCACTCCTCTTTACTATTAGTTTTAATGCGAAATAAACATCTCACGCCTCACGTAATCGCTCAATCAGTGTTTCGACCGCGGAAAGACGACAATAAAACAGCTTGTTAACAAAATGTCACGTAGCATTTCATTTATCAGGAAGTCATCAGTGTCACTGTCCACAGCTCGTTAGTGCGTTATAAATGAAGTGCAGAGAAGAGCATTTCGCGAAATATGAGACTATATAGGCCTACTCATTATCTTTTACTTTACCTGTTAGTGATGTTTTAATTATTTAATGTTTAAAGAAATCTGTTATGAAACGAGTTATGAGAGGCACTGTGTAAATGAATATATTTCAACAACAAACTGAATTTTTATAATTTAGAAGTTAATTTAAAAACTGCATTATGTGCAATTTACATGTTGGCATACATTTTTTTTAAGTTGTGTTGCTTGTTATATTTAAAAAATAAATAGTGATTAAATTTAAGTTTGGGCTCTGTTGTGAACGGTAACCTTATAGTAGGCCTAATATAAAAGGGCTCACTAGTTTAGAGCATAAGCTGAGGTAGATTTTTATCCCTAAGAAAATTTTTATTATAACTGAGTTTATTTAAAAGAGCAGTTTGCTCAGTAAACCACTGTTTAATAAAAAAATTAAAAAAATAGTTTTCCCCCCCCGCTGTACCGAAACTGTACCAAACCGTGACATCGAAACCAAGGTACATACCGAACAGTCATGTTTGTGAACCGTTACACCCCTAATAAAAATCTCAGAGATGGTTTTGCTCTCCTAAAACAGAGAGAAAAAGATAGTCTTAATAACCTGAAAGAGGTTTGCGGTTCAAAGGATCACAGGGAGAGAGGAGAATTTAGTTCTAACACTCACACTAATTTAGCTTAAATTTCCTCTAGGGGGAGAGACCTCAGCATGCAAACCCTCGTCTGTCCGGCTTGCACCCTCTCTTTCTTTCCATGCTGCTGGTCTTCAGATGGCTGCTCCCATGCCTCATTCGCACCAGCAGTACAGTGACTGTCAACAGCAGAGTACAGACCAGTCTGTCACTGTACTGCCATACAGTGATCAGACACAAGCACTCACTGCCAGCCAGGTACTGGATGCTCCACTCCTGTTTATGCACTTAGTTTTTTTTGCATTGTGAATAAACATGGATGAAGTACGCTCAATTATTGCGCTTTGTAAAATGAATTCTTCCTGTTACTTGACACTTAGCCTTTGGATTATTTTACCTTAGTCAAAAGTATGTGGATTTGTTAAAAAAAAAAAAAACTATTAAATCCACATGTTTCCCTTTCTTTTATTGCAGAGGCACATGCCCCAGTGCTTGCATGACCCCACTTTAGCTCCTTTGAGGAAGCTCTCCATAGACCTGATCAAAACCTACAAACACATCAATGAGGTAATGTTTCTTTGTTTTCCTTGAAGTAGTACAGCGTAAAATAAAGCTAAAAAATAGTAATAAAGAACAAAATTATGATACTTGATCATAAGTAGACATATATCTGAAAAGTCTTTTAGGAAGTTTTCACACTAATACACTCTAAAGTTATGAGCACAACAATGCTCAAGGACTTTTGTATTGAGTCTAATGCTGTGAAGCTTGCTTGCTCTCCTTTGTATAGGTGTATTATGCAAAAAAGAAACGACGGCATCAACAGGGTCAAGCTGAGGATTCCAGCCACAAGAAAGAAAGGAAAGTCTTCAACGATGGCTACGATGATGAGAGCTACGACTACATTGTCAAGAATGGGGAAAAATGGTTGGACCGCTATGAAATTGACTCTTTAATTGGAAAAGGGTCATTTGGACAGGTATGATGTCTAGAGTCTCTTAAGTAGTTTATTTTGGAAAGGAAGAAAACCTATTTTAAGATTTTAAATGGTAGGAAATATTATCAGCTTTTGCCCTGACAAAATGGAGGATAAATTATTGTTTTGGACTTGGAAAGCAAAATCCATAGCTGCCAAAATGATGCACTGTGTAATCATTATTTCAGAGTATTTTTAATATCTTAGAAGTAAACAAAACTTAAGTCTTGTCTTATGAATGTAATCGAAGCCTGTTTTTAGGTTGTAAAAGCTTACGACCGAGCTGAGCAAGAGTGGGTAGCAATTAAGATTATCAAGAACAAGAAGGCCTTTCTGAATCAAGCTCAAATTGAAGTACGGCTTCTCGAGCTCATGAACAAACATGACACAGAGATGAAATACTATATAGGTAAGGAACCTGTTCAGTTCTTTGATATAATTTCAAAATCTTTGCATACAGTGCATTCCTTCAAATTTAAATCTAAAAATCTTAATGTATTTTGTTACATTTTTTTTTTTTTGCCTCAGTACATTTGAAACGGCACTTCATGTTCCGGAATCATCTTTGCTTAGTATTTGAAATGTTGTCATACAACCTGTATGACTTGTTACGGAATACGAACTTCAGAGGTGTCTCTTTGAATCTGACACGGAAGTTTGCCCAGCAATTGTGTACAGCACTACTGTTTCTCGCTACACCTGAGCTCAGCATCATCCACTGTGACCTAAAGCCAGAGAACATCCTGCTTTGTAACCCCAAGAGAAGTGCCATCAAAATAGTGGACTTTGGGAGCTCCTGCCAACTGGGACAAAGGGTATTGTGAATCGTCTTATTTTTTGTATGTGTGGAAAGTGTGGAGATTGTCACAGTATGCTTAAAGTTATTGATTACGTATTCCTCCTCCATCAGATATATCAGTACATCCAGAGTCGATTCTACCGCTCCCCTGAAGTGTTATTGGGAATGCCATATGACCTGGCCATAGATATGTGGTCTCTGGGATGTATTCTGGTGGAAATGCATACAGGAGAACCTCTATTTAGTGGAGCCAATGAGGTAATGATCTGTATGATTTATTATTATTATTAATAATGATGATGATTATTAGAACTAGTGGTCGGCCGATATGGGTTTTTTGACAGCTGATGCCGATATCTTGGAAAGCAGGGTGGCCGATGGCCGATATAATTGTATTTATTTTAATTAGTATTTAAGAAATTTGAAATCATTTGAAAATTTATATTTGAAAAATGCCAAATATCGGCCAATATATCGGTCGACCACTAATTAGAACTAATATACTCTTTATGTTTCCTGTATCCTTAAACACCATGAATACAAAGTTTTAGGAGTGACAACTACATTTAAATGTGGGAATAAATCCCCTAAGTCGGGTTTTTATGGAGGACTGTTTCTTGATCCTGGTAGAGTAGACTACAATGTCGGCTGTTCGGACTGACAGACTTTAAGTGGCATAGAGAAGAAACAATAATGTACAGTATGTGGAAAATAATGTTATATAAATAAGTTTTTTGAATCTTAAACCGCATAAACACATTTCAAATGCACAAATACACAAAATAATGTTCTTTTTAGCAGCATCATATGACCCCTTTAATTGGTATAAATGGCTCATTCGGCCATTTCCATGAATAAATCGTTGCATGTAACATTTGGTTGCTAAACTATTATTTGATATGTAAAGAAGGCTTTGTACTTCTCGTATCCCAATTTCCACCTAAAACCGCATCATTCACATACGCAAAAATGTGTTTAAAAAAACACCACAGCATGGCGATCTCGCGCTGATCGGTACAACCTACATATTGTACAACAGACTAAATTGAGTAACCAAATACCTTTTGTATGTTTAGTTGTCTTATTTAGTTTGATGAAGAGGCTGCACTGTCAAGTTAGCAATGCTAGAATTGATATGTTGTGTGTGCGCGTGAGGCGCCGACACTAACACTTCCTTTATATCAGCAGAAAGATATCGGGTCTTTTTACAGTGCCAGTAGTACCAACTCAATTCTGTACCTGCTCGAAGTCACCCACTTTCAAACGCTCCTGTGTTTTTGTGTGCGTGCTCTGGTTTCAAATTACAAAACCAAAAGATTCTATTTACATTGTGTTTTGCAGCGTTGAGTATTGTAGTCACAGGCATCTCTGTTGAAAGCAGTGGCCAATCAGAGGTGTTTACTGTAAGTTAATCAGAATTCGCTCTGATCTAATTATTGTTTTCACAAGTTTACACGGTTCTACACGCTCTTCCTTTTATAACAAGATAAAAAGAAATCATACCCGATGTAAATACAATATTCATTGTGTAGTTAGTTATTGATTATATCAGGAGTTTCTGCGCGAGTAAGCTTGGTCAGTTGCACCATAAGTGAATCGCCCTTTGCTCGTTTTCTCTAAGAGGACCGTCTACGTATACGGTTTCAGGAATGACAAACGCAAGTTAAAAACATTACGCGAGTGAATCCGCCAAATTGATCCGTGATTGACGGTGATACCTGTAGCAATATACGGAACGAACTATCTGACAATCCAATGTCAAAACAACAGAGCTGTGCTTTAAGTGATGCAGAGTAAAATCAGAGTAACAAAACTACAGCAGCAACAAATCTGTGTTGGCTTCAACAGCTTCTACAAGGAAAGATAACTTAAAGTTCTCCTTTTGATGTGTCCTCTTTTAGGCAATGTTTGAAAAATGTAGTTTTTAAATTAAATCTAAAAAATGGCAAAATATTTAATGCATTATTTAATTATTATACCATTAATAACTTAATTTGTAGTTAACTAGTTAAGTATTTAAATAATTAACCCTTACTAGGCTGTTGGTGTCTGGGCTTATTTATTTATATATTTTTAAATTACATGGCTCACTGACGCTGATGAGATTAACCCCTTAGGTATCGAAATTTGGTACCGAACGACGAGACGTTTTTCGATACTCGATGGTATCGAGGCAATTCGGTCGGTGCCTAAAAAGTATCGAACTCGATACCCAGCCCTAACATGAGACTTTGACTTCCTGCACTTGCTATACTTCATAGCCATTTTATAATAAATCCAAAAGCACGACATGAAAAAAAACCTAGGGAGTTGAAATGGCAACTGAGCTAATGAGTGATCCTCTGCTGCCATCTACTGGTTGTAATGGTAATTTCATGTCATTTTCATGTTAAGTCTTTGTTTTTCACCAGGAGACCATTTTTTCCCCCTGTCTTCTTCATGAATGAAAGTGAACATTTAAAGTGAATTTTGGCAAAGTAAAAAATAATAATAAAGGCTTTAAATTATTATAAGTGTTTAAAAAATGTAGGGCTTTATTTTGGGGGATGGGGGGGGAGCTCATCTTTGTCACCTTTTTCACCCATGATGGGTTTGCATCCCTGAAGTGTTTACATTTTGCATATTGTAAACAAATTAAATGCATTATATAAGTCACTTTAGAATATAAATTATACCACGTTTCAGATGATGAAAATGCGACTTGTAGTCCGGAAAATACGGTATAGCAAATAATTTTGCAGACCCCCTGGTTATGGGTCACGGACCCCAGTTTGAAAACCCCTGCCCTAAGTTATTGTTTAATGTGTGTACAGAATACAGGAGTCAGATTCTACTGTTATAGAAAAATACAGTCTGATAAAACAAACTTATTCTTAAAAATGAAAGGTGGACCAAATGAACAAAGTTGTTGAAGTACTTGGGATCCCACCCAATCACATTATGGACCTAGCACCAAAAGCCAGGAAGTTCTTTGAGAAGTTGTCAGATGGGACATGGAGTATTAAGAAGACCAAAGATGGAAAAAGGGTATGTGTCATTGATATTTTAAAGTAGAATCACTGCCGTGTGAATTTTGTTTTTATGCAGCTTTTGTGGGAATGCTGCTTGTTGTTCTTGTGCTAGAACATCTTTCTGTTTTTCTGTGAGCAGTACAAACCTCCAGCATCTCGAAAGCTCCATGTCATCTTGGGAGTGGAATGTGGTGGACCAGGCGGTCGTCGGGCGGGAGAATCTGGACACGCAGTAGCTGACTACTTGAAGTTCAAGGACCTCATTCTCAGAATGCTGGACTACGACCCCAAGACGCGAATTCAGCCCTACTATGCCCTCCAGCACAGTTTTTTCAAGAAGACCACGGATGAAGGAACCAATACAAGCAGTAGTGTGTCAACAAGTCCTGCACTTGAGCAGTCACAGTCATCAGGGACCACTTCTAGTACATCCTCAAGCTCAGGTTTTACTACAGTTGAATCTGTTCTGGTCTCTAATCTCTTGAATGTAACTGGCTTGATAGTAGTGTTTCTGGGTAAAGCTTAATGTAGTTCTTTTGCTGTGCTTCAGGAGGATCGTCTGGAACAAGCACCAGTGGCAGAGCAAGATCCGATCCAACTCATCACCATCGGCACAGCGGCGGGCATTTTGGCACAGCCATGCCAGCCATAGACTGTGACAACCTTTGCCCTCAGGTGAGCCCACCTGGTTGATCTTGTCAAGTAATTAAAACAAATCAAAGTTTGGCCTTCATGATTGAACAATGTTTTTCCTTGTTTGTACAGGCGAGACAGCCTTATCATCCACCAGTAGTATGGCCTGGAATCGTAGGACCAGAGCCTGTCACTGTAGAGACTCATCCAGTCCAGGAAACCACTTTTCATGTGCCTCCCCAGCATCCCAAGGCATTGCACCCCCATCACCATCAACATCACCACGGACAGGTCATAGCAACGCGACCACGGCCGCATCTCTACAACTCGCCCACCAACAGCGCCTCCACCCAGGATTCCATGGAGGTGGTGCACGGTCATCTGTCCATGACATCCCTGTCTTCCTCGGCATCCTCTTCCTCAACATCTTCCTCTTCCACAGGAAACCAAGGCAACCAGGCTTACCAGCTCCGCCAGCTTCCTGCCAACACAAGAATCAGTATGGGTTTGGGTGCCTTCTCAAATCCTCGCCAAGAGACTGGTATGGCTGGACGTCCCACGTACCCTGTTGCCACAAACACAGGAACTGGTCACTTTATAGCAGAGGGACACCTGGGCATGAGACAAGGCATTGATAGGGAAGATTCTCCAATGACTGGAGTCTGCGTTCAGCAGAGCTCGATGGCCAGCTCGTGACTTTAGCTGAAATGGGTTTGTTTTTCTGTGTGAATTTTGTTTTTGTTTTTTTTATTTTGTTTTGTTTCCCCCATTTTTATGGTGGTGTTTTTCATTTTCTCCTGTTTTTTCAAAAGGTGCATAGAGAATAAAAGCTGCTCACTTCTGAGGGGAGATATCACTGAACCGCTACAAATTGAAGAGTATTTAAAAAGTATATGAATTTCCATCATTTTACATTGTCTATTTCTAGATAAGTTAATAATACTGCAAATAACCATGGTGAAACTGAGACATTCATCTGCCGATTCACTCACCTGCGTACAGTACTTATTTACCATCTGTTACATCGGAAACAAGGAGATTTGTTTTTATTTGTCCCTTTTTTCGTTCAATACAGTGAGCATTTCAGAGCCGTGAGCTGTCGTACAGCTTTTTATATGTAAAGCAATGCAAAACATTTGTTTAGTTCAAACAAGTGAAACATTGGACATGATAATTTGGCTGGTCGTTCTTTTATTTACCCTTTAAGTGAAACTTCTCTAAAGAGCTGTGTGTTTAAACCTGTAGCGTGTCAAGGAAGCAGTACTTGCAGTGATATTTCATGCTGTCGGTATTGTGTAACTCTTCGAGAGGGGGCACATAGCTGCGGAGCTATATGTGGCGAGCGCTGGCCTAGCGGTGAGAAGGAGCTGGTGTTAGACAGGCAGGTGCAGTACTCTTCAGGCCTGGAGTCCTCCAGACCGGACGGCTTCGACTACGTACAGCAGCTGAGGAGCGACGAGGGGAACAGATCCGGATCCAGATGGATCTTGGGCTGTTGTTGAGAACCCTTTGGCCTTACGACTTTTGGACCTTGACTGAAAAGGAGCTGGACTTTGTGAAATAGAGATGATGGCTGTCCTCTATTTTTAACATTTAAAGAGTCCTTAATTGGTTAGGGAAGGTGAATGAGAATGGTTAATCAGAGGCCTTTATTTAGAAAATATTTCTCATTTAAGGGACTCCAAATTGCAGGGTCTTGCTCAAACGTCCCTAACATGACTTCCTAAAATTGCCGAAGTGGGATTTCACATAGAAGGTATTCATTCCCATTCATTTGCTTTATTTCTTTTTTTTTCCCCCGTCAAGCATGTGGTTCCCATTGAAAAAAACATCTGCATACATTTGCCTCTTTGTGTTGAACACAGAAGATATGTAATGAGATTTATGTGACTGCCTTTTTTCTCCTCTTGAATTATGCTGTGAAGTTTACACAAATTACTTATTCTTCTTTATTGCCGGCTTAGCTTTTTTTCTTTTCTTTTTTGATATACCAAAGCAGTTGTTTTTTTATAGCACTAGGTGTCTGTAAGAAATAATGTAGCAGTTCACCACTTCAGCCCAAGGTTCATCAAAGTCCATTTTAGTCTGTATACTCTCTCTCAAACTGGAACTTTTGCTGAACTTCATGTTTTAATGTTAACAAAATACTGAAATTGGTTTAATATATGGATAAACCTCCCCGATTTGTTACCTTTTTCCATTTGTTTTTCCTGTCAAGGGGAGGGAAGGGACACAGACGGTTACTCTGCAGGCTACAGAGTAGCTGAGAGATCACAAATGATTCTGAGGAGAGAAAAGTGTTTTGTTTTGTATTTACCTGGTCTATCAGTCAGTGATGCTGCCTTTTATACCTAATAATTTGATGAACATGCTAATTTCTACCTTTTTAAATCTAAGTGGCTACTTAAATTTATTTATTCAGGCAGTCTACTGTAGCTACTGTGACCTCTGAGTCTGAGTTGAATTTGTTATCAAGTGATTGGTTGGATGCTTGCATCAGATGTACTATTCAAAGGGAAACTAGAGGTGACGTGCTGCCACACAAACACTGGGCACATGCATGTTGTTATGAAGAGGATAAGTGTTTATAGTCACTATTTAGTCATGTTAAGGATAGCTTTGCTCACTCTGATTTTTATATCTGAGGTTGTGAGCCCCCCACCACCACCACCTAGCTTCTCACTTTAGGTCTAAATTCTTCAAAGGATCCCTGTTTGCTGCTGCTCTCGATCTAGCAGTTTTTACAGACAGTGGGACACTATCCTGCCAGAAAGTGTGTGGCGTTCACATTTGCAGATTTTCCTTTCACAAAGAGATCACTTTCAGCCGGAATCATGTTTGGTATATTTACAAATCTCACAACAGCTAGTGGTAAAAAAAAAAAGTTTACCTGAATGTTAGCTTGATTTCAAAAATGTTGTTATATATATATAGTGCAGAGTGCAGTTTGCTGAAGTTGACAAACATTCCAAGAAATCAAAATCTAAAAATTACAGAAACTTTTAAAGAGTGCACCTGTTTCAGCTGTTACTAATTAAGACCTGATTTAGTGCCGTTTTCATGAAATGCAGCCCCTTTTTAATAGTTGAAATAGAATTTATGTATATATTTATATTTTTTTAAATAAAGGAAGTATAGAACTCACTACATTGCTCATGCTGGTATGTCAATTACATTTTCTTTTTTAAACCCTTCTTGCCTGTCTTGGTCATTGGACCAAAATTGCTTTTAGTCAGAGGCATTTGACATCAACAGGACAACATTAAAGCTAGGGCTTATAACTTGTAGCCTACCGAAAGAATCTTTTCACAGGGTATGACGCATGTATGTCCACACTTTTTCTAATGCTCATGGTTTGCGGTCTGTTTCCCTCTTTCTCTTAAATGAATTGCCGGTAAATGTCACTGATACACAAGATCGTGGATTTTAATTCAACATTCTTCTGCCTTTTTTTTTTTTCTTTTCCTTTTCAGATTTTCCTGACCCTTTTCATGCAACATTCACTATATAATTGAACAGCATGGGGAAAGGATAAGTGTCCACAGATTGTAAGATCTAGTCAAGACTTTGCTGTGTATATGAAAATGTCCTTTGTATTATATTCAAACAGTCTTATGTATGATATATAAAAAATAACTTAATTGATGCGCTCTTGGCTTTTTTCTTCATTTATTCCCTGGCTTGTTGCTTCAACACTTCTTCGGTCTAATTTAGAGGACTGTCTGTACCAACAGCTCTTACAAAAACTTGACAAACGTGTTAAATGAGGTTTTTTTTGTAGATTATCGAATAGTGCACATAAATGAATAAAAGGTTCATATAAATAAGTCTACGATAAGTTCGATGGAAACTAGAAGCTCAGCTTTAAACAGTAGTAATGTAACGGAAACCTGTTCGGTTGCATAGTTTATGAGGCGGTATTTTGGCTATATATTGCGCGGCTCGTTGGTCTGGGGTATGATTCTCGCTTCGGGTGCATTTCGGTACTACACCTGGTTCAAATCCCGGACGAGCCCTATGTTTACTTTCAATAATTTATTGACTCACAGCGTTCAATGTAAATCTGCCGTTCTTTCGAACAGTTCGTTTCAAAGAATCGGTTCAGATTCAGTGATTCCTTACGTCATGACGTAGTTATGAAATCACGCGGCATATTTAAAGAGACTTTTGACAGCTCATTTTAAATAAAACTGGAGTATTTAAATTCTAACAATGATGGTTAATACATATGCTACATTGTTGATTTGGAGACCAGTGATTTAGTGTTAGCGTTGTGGGTAGGCTTAGTATCGCTATTCAATCTTGCAAATTTGTACGAGTGTGTAATTGATAACGTTTAATCATTGTATTACTTAAGGCTGTTCTCGACTAACACACATTTGCATAACAGTAACATTCTATTTTGCCAAATGTAGATACAATTTGGGGAGAAAATAATCTTCTTACCCGGAGACAAAAACATCACAAATGACCACTGAATCCTGCACCGAGACACCCAGGTTTTGTTGTAGGCTGCTGCCAACATATCTGAGCTCATAAAAATATTAAAACAAACTTGCAAAGAACACTGAACGTTGGGATTGAGAATAAGTTATTTTATGAGCTTATAATTGTCCGGTCTCTGATCTTGCCATCTACAGGATTCACGGCTTTAATGAGCGCTTTAATGAGAGGATCCAGTCAAGTGTTGCCAACTAATTTTCAGGGGAAGTTGCTAAAGGAAGGTCGATTTGTTGCTAAAAGTTGCTAAATGATGTTGTGATGTCATTGCGTGATGACGTCATTACGTAATCACGACGCAAAATTGTGTCACTACATCAAATCTCAGCAAAAATATATATTTTTATGTTTAATTTAGATTTGTTCGTAAAAATAATATAAATGCATAATATAATATTAAAATAGAAATAACTATTTTTGAACAACATTGAATTATTGAACATTTACACATTTTTGAACGATTACAATTTAAGTTCTATTAGCTAGTTAACTAGTAAAACTACACATTCTGAACAATTCTAGTTTTAAGCAGTGTATTAGTAGTTAGTATGCTACACTAAGAAAAGTCTGTAAGAAATAGGGCACAATCTACTATGGCAATTCACTGCTCTTTTTTTGTTTTGTTTTTTTACCTGCATTTTAAATTAAGCATTGTATTTTGTGTTTTCGGGTTACATGGTTACAACGGATAATGGATAACAGATAATGTCCTGGAAAATTACTAGTACCTTTTCAATTTTTTTTCTAGATATTTTTCTTATAGTGTACTAACTGATCAACAATCGCAGGTACAAGCTACTAAGGTGTATCATAAATGAACAATTATTAAACTATTATTATTATTATCAAATTGAACAATTGCAAATAGCAATAACTTAATTCATGTATGTGTGTACTGCTAGGCAACTTTGGTTTCCTCTTTTTGTGAAATTTAGATGGAAAATGTGTGCCTTTTTATTGTTTGAGTCACTTATCAAAAGTTGCTAAAAGTAGGCAAATAAAATTATAAAAATAGCTAAATTTGTTGCTAGGTGCTTTTGGAAGAAAAAGCTGTTAGGGTAGTCTAAAAAAGTTGCTAAATTTAGCAACAAAATTTCTCCCTCTCTCTCTCTCTCTCTCCCTCTCTCTCTCTCTCTCTCTATGTATATATATATATATATATTCTGATTACTACTGTAAAGCTGCTTTAACAATCTTATTATTATTATTATTATTATATAACTATGTCTATAACTATATACCTAATATATAGTCATTATTTATATGTGAAAAACATTCACATCTGATTAAAAGAGTTTTGAACTGATAGATTATATAACACATTGTAACATAAACTATTAAAAATTTAG